AGGAAGGCGCGGCAACCTCGTCCGCGGCCCTTGCCCTTGCGCCCGATGACCCTCCGCGCACGGCGCGCGGGCCCGCTGTCGTTGGAGAGGCGCCGTCGGGGACTTCGCGCACTTCGGGGTCGTCGGCAGCGACGTCCCCGCCGAATGGCCCGACGCCGTCGGGGTCTGCGCCGGGGTCGAAACCCGCTGCTGGGCGCGCCGCCTGCGGCGCTCGCTCATATGTCCGAATCGGCGCAGCTGGCCCATCACCATCACGCGCGCCACCTGCGGCGCGTCCGCATGGGGAAACAATGTCGCAGCGCTGCCAAATCCTGGCGAGCTGGACGTTCGGCGCGCCCACCACGCGCAGCAAGCAAGGGGCGGCGCAGGCCCTCGTAGCCGATCATGATTTGACTGGCCCGCTGCGCCCTGTCGGGGAGGACGTCGAACCTGGCGAGGAGGTTGTCGACGCGCCCCAGCGGCAACTGGCCACGCGCGCCCCTCCGCTCCCAGCTGGGCCCACCGTTCGGCCAAGCTGCGCATGAGGCATGTCATAGGCGGCGCTGGGTCGACGTTGAGACGACCACGCTGGACGAGGACAGCCAGCGGCCACTCGCCCGCGCGCACGCGAGACACGCTGGTCCAGCGAGACGAGACGTTGGCCGCTTGGCGAAACTCGCCGAGGTCGGAGTTCGCCGCTGACCAGACCATCTCCCCCACACCCATCGTCGAACGGGCATGCGAGCTAGATGCTCAAGCCGCCATGCGCGGAGGCGTCGCGCGTTGCCGCTGCCCTCACCACCCGCGCCCACGCAGACGACGCAGCTGATGGCGGCCACCCTGCCCATTCCGATGGCCTTCCATCCAGGAGTGGAGCACCCTCCAGGCATCGAGGAGGCGCGACAGCCCTGGCGCCCATCAACGGCGTTGTTCTGGCAGTGATCCTCGAAGCAGTCGTGAATATATGTCCCGGGTGTGTTCCTCCTCGTCGCGCAGTGTACCTTCTCTTCTGTCGCTCAATTGACGAGCTGGCTGCGCTCGGAGCACCCCGCCACGTAGTGGCGAGAGACCTCGTCGTACGTCGCATTGTCGCCGCAGTGCTCACTGCCGACTGCACGGTACTCAATAGGAGTAGCGCATAAGGACCCAAGCATGCCATGAATCAGGGAGCGCGTGACGTTGAGAGCCATGTCCCGGAAAGCCGAATGCGAGTAGCCACAACCTTGCGCAACGGTCCCCCGAAAGGATGGTAAAACAGAGTCCCGACCCTCCTCTTCCATTCCCGCTCATCCCCACATGCGCCCCCCTGGCTTCCGCGACATAGCTGCGGCTTCCCCAAGACGCTCGGCCGACGCCGTCGATGTGGGCGTCGGACCGAACGATTGCTTAACGTAAACGGCTACTCCTACATGCGGGGGAAATGAGGGTGATACGTCCTTGTCATATACCCCGTCGGGTTTCCGAAACACAGTTGCGCATAGCTCGGGGCCCTGCACCTACACCGTGAGCGTGGAAATCGGGACGCTCAACGGTCTGATGCTGACGGTGGTACTCACAACCGAATGATGCAACGACGCCGGGCCCCCGAACATCTCGAACACAGGCCGAAACTGCCTGGGAGAACGCCGCGGGGGGGGGGGGGGGGGGCGTTTTGCCACATCTTCTTGGGATCGTAAATGTTTTGGAGCCTCCTGCGCCACTGCTGGCGGCTGGACCTGACTGGCCCCGCCGGCCCCTCGAGGCATGGCGCCTGCCGGGGCGAAGTGGATGACTAGCATGACTATGATGCGGGAAGAGTCGCTGCGACCACGTGGGGAAACCTCGCGGGCCATGGCTGGCGGCGAGGAGGTCGCGGAGCGGGCTGCTCCACTACCACGTAGAAGTAAAGGATGAGGGATAAGGGCGTCCTGTTTTGAAGTCAGCGAAGTACAGCACGGTGTGTGTATAGCCCGAGAATAACACGGGCACATAGTCCAGCGGAACTGCATGCCCCCGAGCAACCAACGGCAGCGGAAAAAGAACATGATTAACAGGGGCAATAGTGCACCGAAATGACTTACCGTTCGAGTAAGAGGAACGGGAGGGGATAGAGGAGGAAGAGAAAGATGAGGTGCGCTCTCCCGCGCGTGCCCGTTCACGTCGCGGCGGGCCTGTTCGTGCGGGCGTTTCCGTGCTTCTGCGGCGGGCATGCTCATGCGCGCGTGCGCGTGCTGAGTCCCCTATGTATGTGTAGATACTGATGTGAATGCATACTGTATATGTATAGATGTGAATATAAATATATATATATAATTAAATAAATGTACATATAAGATGTGTGTATATGTATATGTGAACCCAGCTGAGGCCGCGACTGGCCCTCCTTGACGCACGCCCCTATGGCCGCGTTGTAGCTGATCACGTTCGGCTCCTGCCAGCTGAGGTGGAGCTCGCCCAGCAGCCACTGCGCTCGCCGCCATTGTCCGCTCTTCTCGCCTCAGCCCCAACATGCAGCTCAGCCAGGACGTCATATCCCCCTCCTCTCATCCTCGTCCTCCTCGTCCTCCTCGTCCTCCTCCTCCTCTTCCTCCCACCTACTCCTCCTCACTTCTTCCTCTTCCTCCTTCTCTCCTTCTTCCTCCTCCTCCTCCTCCGCCTCCTCCTCCTCCTCCTCCTCCTCCTCCTCTTCCTGCTCCTCCTCATCATCATCATCATCATCATCATCATCATCATCATCATCATCATCATCATCATCATCATCATCATCATCATCATCATCATCATCATCATCATCATCATCATCATCATCATCATCATCATCATCATCAGCATCATCATCATCATCAGCATCAGCATCAGCATCAGCATCATCATCATCATCATCATCATCATCATCATCATCATCATCATCATCATATCATCATCATCATCATCATCATCATCATCATCATCATCATCATCATCATCATCATCATCATCATCATCATCATCATCATCATCATCATCATCATCATCATCATCATCATCATCATCATCATCATCATCATCATTGATTATCATCAGCAGCAGCATCATCAGCAGCAGCATCATGATCAGCAGCAGCAACAACATCAGCATCAGCATCAGCATCATCATCGTCATGATCGGCATCATCATCATAATCAGCATCGTCATCATCAGCATCGTCATCATCCTCATCATCATCAGCATCATCATCATAATCGTCAGCAGCATCATCACCACCATCATCATCATCCACCACCATATCATTATCCATGTCCTCATCATCGTCCTCCAACCCGCCTTGAACTTACATGTCCTCCGCCTCCTCGTCTGCCTCGTCGTCCTCCTTCCCTCCCGAATCATCGTCATCTTACTCTCTCTGCCCAGCCTGCTCATCTCCTCTGACTATTACTCTCCGTCCTCCTCCTCCTCCTCCTCCTCCTCCTCTTCCTCCTCCTCCTTCTCCTCCGTCCTCCTGCTGCTCCTCCTCCACCTCCTCTCTCTTCCTCATTCCACCTGCTCCTCTTCCACCTCCTCGGGGCCTGGGATTCACGACGAACGTATGTCTGCAGTGGACCAAGCAAGCGCCATGACATCAACGTTGACTGCGAGTGTGTACCGCGCTGTTCTCCCGCTCCGTAGAGGGCGGGCGGCCTCAAGGAGCGTCGCAGCGCGCCTCCGTACCAGTGCGCTGCTATGTTTGGGAATGCGCATCCGCATGTGTAAGCACACCCCTGCCGGGGAAGAGTTATTCATCCTGCAGGGATGGATTACGATCATGTTCCCGGAAGACAGAGGGGAGGGGTGCTTGTGGGGACTATTGAAGAGGGGGGCTTCGGACGTGAGGGTGTGTTGCAGCATCGTTGATGCAAAGTGGGCTTGCACTGGTTGTCCAGGACTGATTCCTGACGGTCCCGGAGCCCGATGCGGGCACCCACAGTTCGAGATCGAAGAGAAACCTCGAGTCCTCGAAAGGTGGAACCCCCGATCCGTTCTGCTGGCCGTTCTGGCTGCAGGCGGATCCAGCCCATTTCGACGAGAGCGCCCCAGGAGACCCAAAATCTTTGAAATGATCGACCCTCGATCCTCCTGCCCTAACGCGGCCTGATCTACCCGCACGCGCTCTGACGGCGGCGCGGCAGCCGACACCGCCCCCAGCACGCTCCGCGAGGTCTGGCGGAGGCCGGGGGAGGGGCGGCTGGCTCCTCCGTGGAGGCATCCCAGACAGGGCCAGCCAGTGGGGTCGGAGGATCGCGCCGCATCGCCGAAGCATCGGCGACGCGTCGGCCGACGTCCCGACGGAGAGAACGGGCTCCAGATGGCGCCGCATCGCCGATGCACATGGGATGCGGCGCCACCCTCCGACCCGATTTGCTCTGGCCCCACCGAGGAGGCCCGGGATCGATCGATGCATCGATCGATCCACCGACCTCGACTGGGAGCACATCCGCCACCCGATGTACAAGGACTACAGTCGGGGCGTCGACCCAAGGAACCCTAAAATAAGGAACGAGGCCCCTTCTATCCACAAGTTGAACTTCGATTTCCCATCGAAAATTAGAGGAAAACCCAAGGCAAACTGTGAAGCAATCAAGGAGCACGGAGCCCCTCCCCAACGCAAAAGGCTCCTGTACTGCGAGGGCTACGGTGACTGCAAGCTGCCCGGCGTCCACTGCAGCAAGCCATCGATCGATCCACCGGCCCGGGGCCACGGCCCCCGAGGCGGTGGGGGGCCGGACGGGTCCAGAGGGGCGACGGATCCTGGACACCAGAGGCTTCCCCCCCGAGGACCAGCCACCTCGTCCAGAGAATTGAACTGCTCGACCGCCCCAGGGCCCCCCCCCGGGCCCGGTAACGGCGAGAAACCTCAGGACGAGGAGGAGGAGGAGGAGGAGGAGGAGGAAAGAGAAAGGAGGAAGAAGGAGGCAGGAGGAGGAGGAGGAGGAGGAGGAGGAGGAGGAGGAGGAGGAGCGAGGAGGAGGAGCAGCAGGAGGAGGAGGAGGAGGAGCCGCCCGCTTCATGGCGTCCGAGCCCCCCGCAGGCGCTGACGGCGGCGCTGTAGCTGACGACGCTCGCCCGGAGCCCCGCGGCCCGCAGCCCGCCGAGCAGCAGCAGGGCCCGCCGCCACCTCCCCCGCCGCGCGCAGGCGCTGATGGCCGCGTTGTGGGCGACGACGTCGGGCTCGAGCGCAAAGTCCGCGGCCTTCTCGCGGCGAGGAGCAGGACCGACGACGACGACGACGACGACGACGACGACGACGACGACCAGGTTCTTCGTCTTGAGGACCGTCTCTGCGCGGAGTCCGGGGTCCGCGGGGGAGAGGGGGATCGAGGATCGAGGATCGGGGCTTTGGAAGTTATGACTGCCAGAAATTCCGCCTTCTCTGCTACGGAGACCTCCGGAATGGGGCGGGATCAGATGGGGTCGCAGGATCGCTCCACATCGCCAATGCTCTGGCGCGCCGCATCGCCAATGCATCGGCGATGCATCGGCCATGCGGCGCGATGCGACGCGATGCGACGGGATCCTCCGATCACATCTACTCTGGCCCCAGATTGGGCGGCCAGGACTTTGGCGACGAGAAGGGCACCGCGGCGGCAACGGAGGGGGGACCAGCATGCGCCTGGCGCGTGCGTGCGGCGCACGTGTGTTCACTTGTCTCGGGCCACGACGAGGGTCGCCACGCGAGAGACCGAACTTGCAGGCGCAGAAGTCTTGACCCGCTGAGCACGTGCGCGGAAGGGAGGGGCGGGGGGGGGCAGCATGCCCCTGGCGCGTGCGCGCGGGGCACGTTTTTTCACGCGTCCACGAGGCTCCGGGTGGGCCCAACATGGGGGTGGCGAATCCTTCGCACGTGAAAAACTGCGGGCGCGGAGAGGGGGGGGGGGGGGGGCAACATGCGCCTGGCGCGTGCGCGCGGGACGCGTGTTTCCACGCGGTTCGGGCCAAGACGGGGCCGCAGGCGAGGGGCCGCAGGCGAGGGACCCTTCGCGCGTGAGAATACGCGCGCGTCGTCGTCCCTCCTGTGCGCCACCCTGGCCGCGCCGCCGCCCGCTGTCGTGGTCGCCCTCGCCGTTCCTCGCCGGTGTGGTCGCCAGCGGACAGGGCGGAGGAAGGGGGCGGAGGAGGAGGAAGAAGGGCAGGGCGACGACGCAAGATGATATGTTTGATGATGGGTGTGCTGGTAATGGCTGTGGCGATGATTATATTTATGTTGTTGGTGGTGATGATGATGATGAGGAGGAGGAGGAGGAGGATGACGATGATGAGGAGGACGATGATAACGAAGACGGCGACGACGATGAAGACAATGATGAGACGATGATGATGGTAGTGGTGACGATGGAAACGATGACGACGATGACGATGATGATGATGATGATGGTGGTGATGATGATGATGATGATGATGATGATGATACATGATGATGCTGATGCCGATGACGATGATGGTGATGATCATGATGAGCCTGTTGGTGATGCTGATAATGACTTAAACACTGGTGGTGGTAAAAATGAGGAAGGTGATGACGATGCTGATGGTGATGAGGATGGTGATGATGATGATGCTGGTGATGATGGTAACAATGATGATAATTATGATTATGAAGAATATGATGTTGATGATGATGATGATGATGATGATGATGATGATGATGATGATGATGATGCTGGTGATGACGATGATGATGACGATGGTGATGATGATAATCATGATGATTGTGACGATGATGGTGATGATGATGCTGATAATGCTGATGATGATGGTGATGATGGTGCTGATGATGACGATGACGATGACGATGGTGATGGTGATAATGATGATGATGATGATGATGGTGGTGATGATGATGATGGTGATGATGATGATGCTGACAATGCTGATGATGATGGTGATGATGACAATGATGATGATGATGATGATGATGATGATGATGATGGTGATGATGATGATGATGATGATGATGATGATGATGATGATGATGATGATGATGATGATGATGATGATGATGATGATGATGATGATGATGATGATGATGATGATGATGATGATGAATGATGATGATGACGATGACGATGACGAGGAGGAGGAGGAGGAGGAGGAGGACGACGAGGAGGGCGCGTTTGACTGAGAACGCCGACTAAGGAGAAGGAGGAGGAGGACGAGGAGGAAGAGGAGGTGGGGAGGAGGAGGAGGAGGGTGACAACCCCGCAGAGCGACCCAACAGGTGACAGGCGGAGCCCCGGGGCCACCGCCGCAGGAGGAGGAGGAGGAGGAGGAGCACAAGGAGGAGGAGGAGCACAAGGAGGAGGAGGAGGAGGAGGAGGAAGAGGAGTGTGGGAGGAGGAGGAGGAGGAGGAGGAGGAGGACGAGGAGGAGGACGAGGAGGAGGAGGAGGAGGAGCAGCAGCAGCAGCAGGAGGAGCAGAATGAGGAGCAGGAGCAGGAGGAGCAGAAGGAGGAGGAGGATAAGCAGGACGTGCAGGCGGTAGCGGCCACAGACAAGCAAGTGGAAAGTGTCGCACGCGCGTCAGAAGAAAGTTTGACTCCAGTACCTTACCCGGCTCGTGGATCCCTCAGGTTTTCCCAGGAAGCAAATTGGAATTGAGCAAAACAGCGGCGGACGGACGATGTTAACAAATCGTGCGCCCGTCGGCTGTGGTTCACTGACTGATCCTGCGCACCCAGTGAGAACGCTACAATATAACACCTCCTCCTACTCCTCTTCCTCCTCCTCCTCCTCCTCCTCCTCCTCCTCCTTACTCCTCCTTCCTCCCCCCGGCGAGACCTTGCTGAACAGCGACAGCGCGAGCCGCCACTGGCCTCCCCTGGCGCACGCACTGATCGACGAGTTGTAGCCGACCACGGTGGGCTCGAGCCTGCAGCGCCTGGGCTCGAAGAGGAGGAGGAGGACGACGACGACGACGACGATAACGACGACGATGATGACGACGACGACGACGACGACGACGACAAGGAGGAGGGTGGGACGAGGAGGAGGGGGAGAAGGAGGGGAAAAAGGAAAAGGAGGAGAGGAGGAGGTGGAGGAGAGAAAGGGAGAAAGAGAGAGATAGAGAGGGGGGGGAAGAGCGAGGAGAAGGCGGAACGAACCGGACGACGTGTGCACACGCACAGCGGCCCGAGAAGCACTCTGAACCAGAGGTGGAGCTGTGATGCATTGCGGCGGCTCCTGCCCTGGGCGAAACGCTGGCCCGCCCAGAGCGCGCGCAGAAAATGCACGCCGCGCCAGTGCCTGGTTGGCGAGAGCAGGCGCCGCGGGCACGGAGGCGCTGGGCCCCTCCACGGGAGCCCCCTCCCACAAAGTGCCGACAGAGGAGGCCGCGCAGCCCAGGCGGGGGGGGCAGGCTGGGGGCAGGCTGGCGGCACGCAGGCCGGCAGCGGAGCCGGAGACGAAACGCTCAGAGACCCAGGCGGGCTCGGAGGAGGCGCGAGCCCGAGGCGGCGGCAGAGGACGAGCTCCGCTCCGCGCTCGATGCCCCAACAGGTGTAGACGAGAGCGTTCCACTACTCGCAAAAATCACTGCTCGCAAATGGCCGGAATCCCCCGCGGGTGATCTACGATAAATTACAGAAAAGCAGACATGTGTTTTTCGGACGTTTGCGAGTAGGCACTTTGCGAGTAGTGGAAAGCGCTCGGCGAAAGTGAGTTGGGGGACCTCGGTGGCAGGTCGGGGGTCGAGCTGTGAGCGGGGGCCAGTGCCGCCGTAGGTCGAGTAGTGGAATCGACTACGGAGTTGGTTTACCCCAAAAGTGATTTTCTCGTCGAAGTTACGGAGCATATTCAGAATTCCAAATCAATGTACAAAAATTCTACGTAATCGTTATTCAATCAGAGCTTGCCTCTGTAGGGGTCCTAGCGGGTTCATATGGTTAGGTTAGGTGTGCCGCCGATTTTCGCCGCACGCCGGGGTGCCCGGGTGCCCGGGGGTGCCTGGGGCCCGGGTGCCAGGGGGTGCCCGGGGGTGCCCGGGTGCCCGGGTGCCCGGGTGCCCGGGTGCCAGGGGGTGCCCGGGCGTGCCCGGGAGTGCCCGGGGGTGCCCGGGGGTGCCCTATAGCCCTGTAGCCTTAAGCCCTATAGCCCTATAGCCCTATAGCCCTATAGCCCTATAGCCCAAGAGCCCAAGAGCCCAATAGCCATATAGCCCTACAACTCTATAGCCCTATAGCTCTATAGCCCTATAGCTCAATAGCCCTATAGGCCTATAGCCCTATAGCCCCCTAGCCCTATATCCCTGATTGGGTTTTTCCTCCAGCATCATGTTATATGGGGAAAACCAATTTGGTGTACATCAATTCTGTAGTCGATCCCCTACTCGACAGAGGCTGCAGGAGAGAGGTGCTGGGACTTGCTGAAAAGGGCCGCCGCAGCGGCGACCAGCTGGTGGGTGTGGCGAGCCGGCGCAATGAGCGGAGGCCCTCCCCGAGCGCCTGCCGTTTCGCGATCTGGCCGGATAGGGCAACGAACAATGACATAAACATAAAAACTTTGAGGTCCTCGCGGAGTTCTCGGATCGGCGCTGGACCCCCCTCCCTGGCGCGCGGAGCGCGCCAGGGGCGGCGCGGGAGGCGCCGGGGTGGGGACGGCCCACCGCCCAGACTGGGATGTGCAAATCCTCCTCCTCCTCCTCCTCCTCCTCCTCCTCCTCCTCCTCCTCCTCCTCCTCCTCCTCCTCCTCCTCCTCCTCCTCCTCCTCCTCCAGGGTTGAGGTTCTGTGCCAGTCGCCGTCCACGCCGCCCCCATCGGTCAAACACGCGGTGATCGGCCCCGACGCAGCCGCTGGGGTCGTCCGCGAGATGGACGTCGAGGTCGCCAGCATCGTCGAGGGTGTCGATCGATTGCGGAGGCCGAGAGGATCGTCTTCACCGTGGCGGTCGGCGTCGGCGAGCTGTTGGTCGAACTGTTGGCTGAGGTCGTGGGCCGCTGCGGCTGCTTCGACGCTCTGCGCAAACGGCTGCATGCGGGCCAGCTCGGCTGGTGCGTAACCCGTCGGGCGGTGCGGCAGGGGGAGGGAGCGGCGTCGCAGGCGCTGAGGATCACGGCAGTGGAATTGAGGGCGGCGGCCAAACAGGGGCGGCTTCTTGGCCGCTTCAACCAGGGCTGGTCCTAAACGGTGTTTTTCGGTTTCGTTTTGTTTTCGTTTTCCCTCGTTTTTGTCTCGAATCCGCATTTACTGCAAAAAGAAATGGACACGATAACGGCCCACGAAATCACCAAAAACACCGTTTAGGTCCAGCCCTGGCTTCCACCACCCCCTCAGGAAGGTCGTGATTGGCCAGTCTCTGTGGCCAGCGGGCCGGTTTCACGATTCCACCGCTCGGCCATCACGGAGGTGCGGTCCGCGTCAAGGCTGTCCTCGCCCAGGTGGCCCGCAAGTTTCTCCACCCAGCACCTGGCCATCGCTCGGACGTCCATTCCCTGTGTTTTTTTTCGATTTCGTGCGTGGATGTTTCGCCAGATGGTCGAGGATGCTCCTCGAAGGTCCTCGCCGCGGAAGAAAATGCACACGTCCGAGCGATGCCAAGGAACAAGCTGCTGCCTTTGACCTGGAGCACGCGCTGCCGTTGTGGATCCACACATCCGCGTGCGGCCCCCGGGGTGCAACGCCGCCGGCCGGGACCGAGAGGGAGCCAGGCACGGAGGCCCGACGGCCTGGTTGTCGACAGTGGAGCTCTGCGACAACCACCACATTTGGCGGCGCGCAAAAGGGGGCAGGGGGAGGGGGGAAGGCTTCTTAGAAGCACCCTGCTTCTTAGAAGGCCTCGGCCTTACGTCTATAGAGAAGGCCCGCGCCTTCTAAGAAGCAGGGGTGCTTCTAAGAAGCCTTCCCCCCTCCCCCTACCCCCCTCTGCGCGCCGCCAACACATACAGCGGGGTTTTGTTCTCGGCGCGCTGAGCCCTCTGCACCAACCCTCGGAGTGCGGTCGGAAAACGTGCGACGGTGCCCAGGGCCGTTTCAGACGCCGAAGGCGGAAGGCTGCCCAGGACAGTACAAGGTGGGCCTGGTGCGAACAGGCTCTATCTGTGGCGGGGTGCACCCATCGGTGGCCGATGGCGGGGCCCGTGAACTCATGGCGCACGTCAGGGGCGCCGTCATTCCCTGATCGTGGCGGGGCAGGAGCGCGTGCGAGAGCCGCATGGAAGTCGAAGAAGCGGGGATCTTCGTTCACGAGACCAGTGCCAGCTATGCGGCGGAAGGCGGTCCCACTCCTCCCGGGGGCGCATGTGGAGCAAAGCCGTAGGCTGGGCTGTACACACGGGCAATGCCGGACCGTGCGCTCCTGCGTTTCTTCTACCTGGTCGCACCAGCGGCAAAAGGGCGAGTCGTCCACCGAGATGCCAGCCTGGGAGGTCCGCTTTCCGCTGCTGCATGTGGTCGCCGCCAGCCCAAGAAGTTGAAGCAGTGCCCGCTTCCAGTTGCTGAGCGTGGTCGTCACACCTGTGGTGAGGGCCATCCGCGTGGTGGCGCACATGTCGAGCACGTTTTTTAGAATGATAGAGGTAAAAGCAGAAATAATAACGAAAATAATTATGACTATATAAATAACAGTGTAAGCATAATAATGAGAGTAATGACAGCCATAACAATAACAACAAAAGTTTTAATAACAATAATCAACTGAAAATAAAAGCAATGAGCAATGACACTAATAATAGTAATACTAGGTAATAAGAATAATGATGATGAGAATAATAATGATACCAGTTTTAACCCTACTAGAAATAATGATTACGAAAACGATTGCCATGATTACTAGATACTCTTCATACGAACAGTAATAAGAATGATAATCATGATAATAACAAGAATGAGAATAATCAAACTACGAAGAAGAATGAACAACTGCATAAACATAATGTTTTGGCGCTCCGCGAGGATTTCTTGGACCTGAGCCGGACCCTCCTCCATGGCGCGCGGAGCGCGCCAGGGGCGGCGCCGGAGGCGCCGCCTGGGGGGCCCAGCGCAGATCCAAGAAATCAGCGGGGACCGCCACAATGTTATGTTCATGCTGCTTTTTGTTCTTCGATTGTTTGACGGTGGCCGAAGATCCCGGATCGCTGCGAGTGGTGGGCGCGTGTCGCAAAGGACACGCCGCCGCGAGGCGCGCACCCTGACGGCGTAGAGTGCGGAGGACGAGCGGGAGGAAGGAGCGCTTCGACGTCGCCCAGCGCCGCCAGACGTCGGCCCCGTTCGCTCCGATGCGGCACCGCCGCAAATCGGTGAGCGGGCGAGGAGGCAGGGAGGGAGGGAGGGAGGGAGGACAAGAGCGGAGGGAGGCAGGAGCGAGGGAGAGAGAGGGAGGGAGGCAGGAGCGAGGAGAGAGGGAGGGAGGGAGGGAGGGAGAGAGAGGGAGGGAGGGAGGCAGGAGCAAGCGAGAGAGAGGAGGGAGGGAGAGAGAGGGAGGGAGGCAGGAGCGAGGAGAGAGGGAAGAGGCGGGGCCGGCGGCGCGCGACGGGGGTGGCGCGAGGGGGCGGCCTTCTGAAACAGGCTCCTGGGACGGCGGGAGGGCTTCTGGGAGGCCCCCCCCTGCCCTCTTAGAAGGTGGCCCCCCTCGCAGCACGAGTGAGGAGGGAGGGAGAGGGTAGGGAGGAGGGAGGCAGGAGGGAGAAGGGAGGGAGGAGGAGGAGGACGACGGAGGTGGGGAAGAGGAAGGAGTAGGAGAAAGAGAAGGAGGAAGAGACGATCTCCGGAGGCTCTGCGGAGGTCTCCGAAGGACCCCAAGTCTCTGGAGGTCCCCCAAACAAATGATCCCCAAACCATCAATTTCGACTCTCTCGATGATTGAACCTCGCGAATCAAAGATCGAGGAGGAGGGAGGAGAAGAGAGAGAGGAAATAAGGAGAAAGGGAAGGACGGAAAAGGGAGAAGAGAGGAGGGAGGAGAGAGGAGGAGGAATCAGAGGAAACGGAGGGCGGGAGAAGCATGGAGAAAGAAAAACAGAGGGAAGAGGGAGGGAGCGACAGGGAGGTGGGGGGATGAAAAAATACCGACGCTACCACTCCCGGCTCTCTCCAAGGGTGCGACCTGGCAGAGACTCCACCGCGAATCCAGCCGTGGCGACGCGGGCCCAGAGGGGGCCCAACGGGGCAACACTCGGAGGGGCGGGCAGCGGAAAAGGTAGCGGCATCGTCTCCGCCTCTGAGGACGGAGGCCTGGACGGTGTGCACGCCCTCTGGGCCTTGGCCAGCGTGGTCTGCACACCGTCCCGGGTCCAAGGATGACTGCGTAGAAAGGAGGAGGAGGAGGAGGAGGAGGAGGAGGAGGAGGGCCTGAGCTCGCCCAGCAGAAGCAGCGCCTGCTGCCACGGCCCGTCCCTCTCGCAGGCGACGATCGCGTCGCCGTAGCCGTCGGAGCCGGGGTCCAGCTCGGCAAGCCGCAGTCGGCCGAGCAGAGCGAGCGCGTGCCGCCACCGCCCGCCCTTGGCGCAGGCGCGGAGCACCACGCCGAAGCTGAGCGCAGCGGGCTGCAGCTCGCAGAAGAACAGAGGACCGCACGCGGCCGAAGCGGCACGGCGGCGGGGAGCCTGGACCGAGAACGTGAGCCCCCTCGCTGACGGCCCAGGGCGAGGAGCCGAGGGGCGCCCCTCCAAACCCGGGGTCGTTCTCAACTAGACGAGCGCGTTCCACCACTGACAAAGTAGCTACTCGCAAATGGCCTGGATCCGCCGCGGGGGATCTACGATAAGTTACATCGAAGCAGACATGTAATTTTCAAGCGTTTGCAAATAGGCACTTTGCGAGTAGTGGAACGCGCTCGGTGATCAACCCCCGATCAGCGAAAAAATATGGAGCAGACACAGCCCTCTGGAGGCTGGCGCGCAGTTTTTGGGTCGCCGTTGGGCAGACCGCCCGTCACCCCACGCGGCGCCGGGAGCGCCGCCCCCCGCGCGGTGGGAAAGCGGCGAACGGAGGGCAGCCCAACGCTGACCCAAGAAATCGTGTTCCGGTTCGCCCGGGGATTCCCTCCAAGGTTGCCCGGGGTTGCCCGGGGTTGCCTGGGGTTGGGGGGTGCCTGGGTGTTCCCTGCGCAAGACCAAGCAATGCCAGGCAATGCCAACCAACGCAATGAAACGCTAAAAAACGCCAAGCTGCGCAAAATAATGACAAACCGTGCCCAACAATGCCCAGCAATGCCAAACAACGCCAGAAAATGCCAGGCAACGCCACACCATGTCAAGCAATACCCAACAATGCCAGGCAACGCCAAGCAACACCAAACAACACCAAACAATGCCACTCTGTCCCAATCATCGATTCCAATCAACGCCATGCTACACCAAGCAGAGCCAAACAATGCCAAACGATGCCAACTACTTCGAAGCAAACCATCGCGTTGCATTGTTCAGAATTGATGCGGGCGTTGCGGCAAAGCCAGCACGCGCAAGCTGGCGCGCAGAGCGGCCAGCTAGTCTGGCCCGACCGACTTGGTCGCGGTCGCGCTAACCGTTGGGAATCCCACAATGCGTCGCACAGGCCGCGCTGGCGCGCGGGCACTTCAGCGCGAGACGGTGACTCGGGCGGGCGGGGTACCATGGCGACGTCGACAACAGCAGACACGATGATGATAGTAGCGGTGCTGGCGACAACGATGACGATGACGACGGTAAGGCCAATGACGGCGCAAATGTTGATCACGCAGATGACGATGATGGTGCACACGTGACCGCGACGAAACGTGGGCAAGATTTCGACATGCGCGCGCGGCCGACGGGCGAGACTGGCCCGCATGGTAGCATTTGACGGGCATCGTGCCCCCCAGCAGGCGCGCAAAGGCGTTCGAATGATTTCGACATGCGCGTGCGGGAGGCCCGCTTGGTCGCAGGCGATGAAAATTATGCACAACCGATGGTTGCGTTCATGATTTGCATGAGACCGCGCGCGCAAACTTTTTCGAACGCCACGTTGCAAAGCCATGTGCGGACTATGTTTCTGGGGCATTGGATCTGGGCATCTTCAAGAAACCCGAGGTTGCTGAAAGATGTCGGCATGCGCGCGCGACGGTACGCGCGCGCGCCCGTTTGCCACACGTGCTGCGCTATGGCTTGTGAATAAAAAAAAAAAAAAAAAAAAAAAAAAAAAAAAAAAAAAAAAAAAACGAGTGCTCGCGCATAAGAACAAGATGTGACCGAAATGGGGGGAAATACTGGCGTGGCTGGGATGGAGTGAAATCCGACTCAGAACGAACGATGGACAGAGCCACATGTAGACCGGGGATCCCAAGGGTGTAACGATAATCTAAGGGTGATGAGTCAAAATATTTTGTGAAAAGGAAAGCCTACGCGGCGCAATCTACATGGTGCAATTACTTTCGAAAAACTTGGAGTCGTCAGCTCCGCTGCTCGCGCATCACCCCACCGCCTACCGACCCGAAATTTGGTTTGCTGAACCCATGCGGCGGCGACTGCGATGACTGCTTGGGGCTGGCTTGCGCATCTCTGGAGCCGCGCTGGCGCGCACAAGCTTGCGCGCAGAGCGGCTGGCTTGTTTGGCGCAACAGACGCGGCCGCGGCGGCGCCGACCGCCGTGGATTGTCCGGCGCGTCTCACAGGCCGCGCTGGTCCGTGGGCGCACTTGCGCGAGTCAGTGACTCGGGCGGGCGCGATATCACGGTGACGTCGACAACGGCAGAACCGATGATATAAAGTAGCGATGGTAATGGCGATGATTACCAGTGACACGGCGAGGCCAATTACGGCGCCGATGTTGGCCACGCCAATGGCAACTGGCGCCCACACGTCGGCGATGAAGGTGTTGGGTGGATTTCGAGGCGCGCGCTCGGCCGACGCGCGCGAGTGGCCCGCATGGAATTCGAGACAAGGATCACGCCGCCCCAGCAAGCGCGCAAGGGCGTTCGAATAATTTGGACACGCGCGCGCGACAGGCCCGTTTGGTCGTATTGACTGGAGATGTTGAAAAGCAATTGGCGCAGAACCTAAGAAATCGCTGACAAAATCGGGCACGGGCGCGCGACGACGCGCGCGCGTGAGCGGCGTCTCAATAATGGCCGGGGCGCACGGAAAATTGCTCTGGCGAAGGGCCCAAACACATGCAACTGCGGGTACCGCATGATGATTCAGACATTCGGTGGGGCTCCGCATGGAGCCACGAAACGCGTGAAAGGCGTGCCGACATGGGGCAGGGCCGCCATGTGAACCCTGCCGCTGGGGCCTTCGGTGGAGCTCCCTATGGGGCCGCGAAACATGCGAGGCGCGTGCCGAAGCAGGGGGGGGCCGCCACGCAAACCCTGCTACCGGCGCCTTCGGTGGAGCTCCCTCTGGGGCCACGAAGCGCGCGAAGGGCGTGCCGAAATGGCGCGGGGCCGCCACGCGAACCCTGCCACTGGGGTCTTTGGTGGAGCTCCCTGCGGGGCCACGAAACGCGCGAGGGGCGCGGCGAAATAGGGCGAGGCCGCCATGCAAACCCTGCCACTAGGGCTGTCGTGGGGCCCCCTGTGGGGCCACGAACCGTCTGAGGGGCGTGCCGCAGATTTTGGCGGTGACGGTGGTGGTGGTGATGGTGATGGAATGATAACGATAATGATATCGCGTATGCTATTGATAACGATAATGGCAATGGTGATGATAATGACGATGATGATAACGACGACAAGGGCAATGATAATGCAGGCGACGATGGTGGCGGCGATGCTGGAGAAGGCTATGATGGTGTTGATGGTGATGATGATGCTGATGAAGATGATGGTGACGATGACGATACTGATTATGATGATGTTGGTGATGATGGTGGTAACGATGACGATAGCAACGACGATGATGATGATGCCGATGAAACGTTTGCCTACTCATCATAGACTCAGGCAACGACCTAATGAGGTAAATGGACAGTTGATGTTATTGCTCAACCTGATCGTGTCCGTCTTACTCTGGAATGCTTAAATCGCGACGCGTGGATGATGCGCTTGACGCCATGGCTTGGGCAGGTCCGGCAAGCCATGAGCCATGTAGACGCGTCTGCGCGCGCTCGCCCGAGCGAGGGGAGAGCGGGCGCGCGCGCGGGCGCTCCTTCTCGACGCCAGAGGTAACAGCGGGGGCACGCTTCGCTCCGCCGGCCCTGCCAACCCTCATTTGGAGGGAAATGGCAGGGGAGGAAAGAGGGCGAGGGGGGCGTTGGCAACGTCACCCCCCGCGGCCCCGTGGCGCGGGGGCCTCCCGCGCACGGGTGGGCGCTGGCAACTGCTGGCGCCCCGCATTTGGCGGCGCCGCGCCTACAGCCTTGCAGCGCGCCCCGAGAGCCACGATCGGCCCCCCCAAGGGCGCCTCGGCCCCATCCCTGGCGCAAGCCCCAAAAAGCGCTGCTCGGCGCCAGGGAAAAGGGGGGGCGACGCCCCCGACAAGACTCTGCGGGACAAGCCGCAAGACTGCCAGCGAGCACCGCGCGATACAGAAATGCGCGCCAGCGCCTGCCGCCCAGCGCACGGCCCATCATGCTCACGGCTTGCCGCTGCGCCCCAGCGCACCAGCGCGCGCGGGGCGCGGCCCTGAAACGCGCAGGGGGCCATCAGAGCACAGCCCACAGCATCCCCCCTGTTAAACCTTCATACTTCCACCTGCCCCAATCGCCACGCTACTGATCGCCTCGGCACTGGCGGCCAGTCCAGCCCCGCCAGCTGCTGGGGCCCTACCCCGAGCACCGCGATGTCCAGACCCCCGGAGGGGGAGGAGGAGGAGGAGGAGGAGGAGGAGGAGGAGGAGGAGGAGGAGGAGGAGGAGGAACGCGGGGCACTCTCTGCAAAACATAAGCCCAACAACACAGGATGGTTGGGAAAAACTGCACACGAATGGTAAACGATTGTGGGCGCATAGTGCTTTTTGACAGGCATGAGGGGGGGCGACAGCAGGTCCCCCTGAGATGATCTAAATCCATATCCAAAACGAACGATGGGGCAACATCAAACGTAAATTCTACTATCCCAGGGGAGGTCGATAACCCAGGGGGGGGGGGGGGGAGAAATCGATTCAAGGAAGGGGAGTCGACGTTGCGACATTTGAGCGGCGACGGGCCGGCGACGGCGAGAACGCAGCTGCCAGACCGACCCGCAGGCACAGACGACGGGCGGCGACGGGGCGGCGACGGGGCGGCGACGGCGAGAACCTCGCCGCTGGACCAACCAACAGGCACACTTCTTAAGAAAACAATGAAGGGGGGTCAGGACACACAAATAAATACACACAAATAAAAAGATGCCCCATATTTTCCCATATGTTCTGGGTTTCTGTCTTCCCCCCCACTGCCCTTTCCCATATTTTCTGAGGAATCGAGGATTAATTGTGTCTGTGTTTTTTCCTCTCCTGAAACAAGCAAGAACCCCTTACTGCAAGCACTGGTTGAGGAATTCTGGAGACAACCAAAAAAAGGTGTGTCGGGTCACGTTGGCTATGGAGTCGTCTGTTCTTCTGGCTCGCGCGCATGAAGCTCGTCCAGCAGGACCAAAGCCTGCATCCACTGGCCC